TTCTGGTCCCTTTTCACCATGCATAACAAAGGCATTCGCTAAATCCCCTCCAAACGACATATGGACGCACTTTTCATAATTCAGAGGAAGGTACCAGTCAAACGACCGCTGCTTGGCAGCGTCTACATCCATTTGGAGGGCACTGGCATCTGAACTCCAGGATTTCAAGTCGTCCGCAAAATGTAGACGTGGACTCGCAAGAACGTCTGGGAGGTCGTTGACGTAGATCAGAAACAGGAGTGATCCCAAGACTGAGCCTTGAGGAACTCCAATGGACACCGGCGCTGGAGAGGAGTTGGACGAGCCTATTCTCACTCGGAATGATCTGTCTGATAGGAACGCGTTGATCCAGCGAAGGATACGATTGGTCAAAAGCGGATTATACGCTAGTCAGTGGATTCCACTAACGGTACCCCTCGGCTCGATGGCGTAGAGAAATGAGCTTGTGCGTGTTCGGGGTTTGAATCCGGAGGTCGCCTTCGACTTTCACGTGGAAATGGCTCTCATGATTTTCACACTTCCAAGTTCTGTTTGGCTAACTGAGCGTTTGCAACTTCAGTCTACGCACAAGCCGGCGACCACCCGCGCCTTGGACACGACCCAGATTTCTCTGAACGACTTTCACAAATGGCTCTCATGATTTTCACACTTCCAAGTTCTGTTTGGCTAACTGAGCGTTTGCAACTTCAGTCTACGCACAAGCCGGCCGGCACCCGCGCCTTGGACACGACCCAGATTTCTCTGAAACCATAGTTTGAACGAAAGAAACGCTTACATAAATTTTAATCATTTGACGGTATTCAACAGAAACCTTGAACTATCCCCAGTTTCGCTAAAATGTGAACTTACTGAAGGTCTACTCTGGGCGCGGAATTCATATCCATAATGTGTAACGCATTTGAAACTCGAATGTATCTGCTTGCCCGTTTCTCATATGACCTTATACGTGCCCCTCCCTTTCTCTCTTCCCCCATTGCAGGTACCACGGACGAATCACCACGGGCCCTGGACAGGGAAGAGTACCCCACTTGTACACCCCCTAACTGACCTTGACCCGACCCTGACACACCCCCCGCTTCCGGTTTCGGTTTCGCTCAATACACGTGTCGTTACCACACTCCGGCCTTCTCCCTTGTTCCACCCGACCTGTGCGCATGTGTGCTGTGTATACTGTGTGGATTCATTAATACCAGTCCGTATATCTGCACATTTCAGAACTGACGTGTGCCGTCCTCTCGAACGTCGAATACCGCTGACTTCCTGACATCCCACGCTACATTGGTGACAGAGGTGGGATCAAGTCAATTTTACGTTCGATCTTCCTGCGAAGCATACCGGAACACGTGCGACGAAATTGCCAGAGAATCGGTTGGTATTTCAAAGCTGATCATGTCCCACATCCAACCACCTCTGGAAGAACCAGAGACGTTTCAACTGGGCGACGATTTCACGCTCTGGTCGGGTCGAATGAAGGCTTTCCTTACACGGATACATCCGCAATATCACGAGTATTTTATCCTGTCCCATCTGGATGACCCTGCCGCCCGTCGTGTACTCTATTCAGGCGTTTCGCTGTCTGCACCACCGGACATCCTCTGGAATGACTTGTCCTTCCTGTTCGATACACGACCGCCGAGTGATGTCCCTCACTCCTCACCCAACATAACCCCCCTTTCCAACACTTCGACGTTTCACTGTCATTCTCCGGTCCAAAATTTTTCTCCCACCACTTCCGCACTTGATGTTATGTGTCCAGACTTGGGTACGATAACTTCAACGAAACCTGTCGTGCAATCTGATCACAAACTTGGTTTCACACAGGCGGCTTATTCAACTCCCGATGATGAAGTCGATAATAACGAAAAGCCTCCAGGGGAGACGGAAGGGGACACAAGATCTCGAACTCTATCCGATGACTTGGAGCAAGTGCATGAAGAAGCCGCCAACGACACAACACAAGTTCCTTTTCTTTGTGGTATTGATGTGGACCAGCGGAACCCAGTACTTTACACTGAAGACGATGATAATAATCAAGCTGCAGACAGCAAGCCACAACAAACAAAAGTGGTGGTGGACGCGAACTCCAGTGCGCAGACGAGTATGGACACGATAAACCTGGACCCAGTGGTCAACAAAGCGGACGTT